AAATAAACATGTACTTTGAAGATAAAAGATGTATCTGAGACATCCAACCAAGAATGTACTCTGATTTTTTTTTTTCCCTAGCAGAGGAGAAAGGGTAACCTAGGTTTCCTGAAAAGAGGAAAGTAAACCACTTCCTGTCTGCTGATAAGCTCATTTAAGAACTAGATATTTACATTTTAATTTAAAAAATTATCAGAACTTGGTTTTATTATCAATCACAAACCATAGCCAGAGGTATGGTTCAGTGGTAGAGGGCTTACCTAGCATGTACATGGAATAAAACAAACAGAAAACTCAACATTCCTCACCAAGATCTGTGAGTTAAGGAAAAATTACCTCCTATCCAGGATTCTAAATATTAAGAATCACTATGACATTTAAAAACATTTAAATTAACATTTAAAATATTTAAAATTTGGCCGGGCAGTGGTGGTGCATGCCTTTAATCCCAGCACTTGGAAGGCAGAGGCAGGTGGATTTCTGAGTTTGAGGCCAGCCTGGTCTACAGAGTGAGTTCCAGGACAGCCAGGGCTATACAGAGAAACCCTGTCTCGAAAAACTAAAAAAAAAAAATTAACAACTAATTACATATTTGCATTTCTTCTTGTATAACTTCTACCTTTGTTAAAATAAAAACAAAAATAAGAGAACAGAACAACAACCTTGGGGACATGAGTCTATGGTGGTTACCATAAGACATAAGAATTTTTTGGCACAATGCTTTTTGTATTGCATTCATGTTCTTGATGCAAATGGCTCTGGTTCAGTTAACATGCCATGCCAACCTGACAGAATCAAAACTCAGAGAACACTCATATTACTAAGCCTGGTGTCTCGAGGCTAAGATTTTTCAAAACTGACTTTAATTATGGTTCTTTAATGCTTTAACTTCCCTTTTAGCACACCCCCCCACCATAAGTAGGGAAAAAGAAAAGTTAATAGGAAATGGGGGTTGTGGACCTGTTTTGAAATAGTTTTTGGGTGTGATTCCAATCTTACTTGTCAGCAGTCCAGTACACTAGCAAAACACCAAACAGGAATCTGCGGCGGCAGTCCGGTATACTCAGCAAACATGAATCAGTAGCAGCCGCTTGATCCAGAAGAAACCAAGAGGCTCCACTGATTCTCACAAGTCAATGGAAGTGACAAGAAGTAGCCTGAATACCACCAGAAGTTCTTTGGTGGATTTTTCTCCATGAAAACAATGCAAGAGTGTCGTCCATGAAGACCAGCATCAGGGAAGCCCAATGATGACCAGCAGAGTGGCAAGGTGAACCAATGCAAGAATGTCATCCACTGTCTGTTGGTCTATACTTATACTCTTTCCAAACACATATGCCCTTTCACCAGGCAGCTTCCAGAAGAACACCACATGTCTGTTCTCAGCAAAACATCTTCTCATGAGACAGTTTCCAGAAAAACATCAAATGACACAACTAAGTCGCCAATAAAACCAGAAATTCCCACTTCAGGTGTTTTTGGTGTTTAGTTTTGTTTGCTTCTTTGAAGTACTAGAGATAGGGTCCAGGTTCACACATATTGGACAAGTGTTCTACCTGAGCTGTATCCCTAGGCCCAGGATTGGTTTAAAAGATGTCAGGAGTAATCCTAACATGTGGATGGGATGAGGAGTGGTGCTGCTCTGGTTTGATCAGCCCAGGAACTAAGTACCAACCTGTTCACATCTTTGGCACAGGTCTTCTGTGGATTCCTCTTATCATCCCTCAGTGTCCCTGGCTCACCTGCATCTGGTAAGTATCTAACTTCTGGACTCTGCAGCCAGGGATCCCAGGACATTACTAACTAGTGATGGGCTGGGCCCAGAATGCACATCTCATAACTCACTTGCTCTTTGCATTTAGTTCCTTGAATGAGTTCCAGTTATGAGGAATCTTCCTTTTTACAGAGAAGTGAATATCTCTGATACCTGCATCTTCAGTCATGGAGAACTCTAAAATATACAACATACTGGTCACACAAATACTTCCAAAATAGTCATAACATGTTTTATGGAACATCAATTAATAAAAAAGATGTCATGGATTTAAAAAAGAGCAAGGCAATACATGGCAGGGTTTAGAGTAAGGACAGAGGGAAATGATGTAATTAGTGTCAAAAATAAAATAATTTTCAAAAGTCATAATGGTCAACAGATTCCAACAAAGTCAAATTAATGGATGTTGTTGCCTGGCTTCTCCATTCTTGGCAGTTCCCTCCTTTGGTGTGTATCTGTCTACCTACAAGGTCCTCCTCTGATCTTGAGACCTAATTTTAGATGAACCTTGAGTTTATCTAAACCCTTATGACTAGGCACCTACTGCCTGTAATAGAAGCAGCCTAGAACTTTCTTCCTCTGTTCTTGGTTATTCCCTGCTAGGTAAGATCCATTCTTTACCATATTTCCTCCTGTCAGCAAGGTCCTACTGAGCTTTCCTTGTTTTATGTATTTGAGTGTTCTGTCTATATGTCCCTGGAGTTGAAGTTCCAGACAGTTGTGAGTTGCCATGTGTGAGCTGAGAGCTGAACCTACATCTTCTTTTGCAAGAGTACTAAGTGCCAAGCTATGGCTATGGCTGCAGCCCATTGGCTGAGTATTTTTTTAAAGGTAGAACCTTTTATATAAATATGAAAACACTGTTTTAATTCTTCTGTCAGCCATACTGCTCAAGATTCTGGTTGCTTAAGGAAGGGGCAGAGAGTGTGGATATGAGGAGTGTTGAGGCACCAGTTGGTAGTCACTGAATTAAGTATCTTCCCCTTAGAACTTTTTAGGCAAAAACTTTTCTTATTATAATACTTAAATATTGTATATAATTTGAAAATCCTCATAGATATTCAGTATGAAATTTGACAAATTAGAATTTAAGATGTGTTATCTGATTTCTATAACACATTTGTATATTGTTCCTACTTATCTTGCTTTCTATTCATTCATATACACCTATTTTTCAATCATTACTTACATTTCTACCCACTAGTAGAGGTTATTTATACATAAGTCATTAGTGTGGTTTACTTTGTATAGATGGAAGATTGTTTCAGCCAAGTGTAATTATTTTTTAAAGAGTTAAGAGAACTACTAAAGGATATAAATAAAAAGTCATGTATCAGTGTCACATTTGATCATATATACATATTAAAACCTTCCCTTGTATTCCAGTATTTCTAAAGAAGTACAGGTCTTTATTCCAAACATATCTATCCTCCACTTTCTAAACTGAATGACTCCCCACGCTGTCTGTGAGCTGGGAAGTTGTCTGTTTTCACAGAAGGAACACACAATGCCTTAAGGTGAGAAAACACCCAAGGTTGGCTCTTCTTGTCTTGAGTGCATGTCAGTTACTATAACTACACCTTACGCCATTCCTGTGCTTGTAGATCCTTGGCAGTACTTTGGGGATAGGAACATCGTTAGGGTTGGGAGTCCCTAATTCTGACACGCCACTGATCCTCTCTGAGGGTTCACCATCCCTGGAGGTGCTTCAGGAAGAAAGGTACAGGTCTTTGTGACTGGGGAAAAGGGCAGCCTCTTGGGCCATTTACAAAGTCTGAATAATCATCTGCTCCCTTAGGTCTCAGCATTTCTGCTTCTCTTTTACCCAATGAAGATCCAGCATGTATCTTCTCCACACCCATAATACAATACTCCCTTAACTTATCTTGATGTTAGTTCCAAATAATAGGAATGTGTTTCTTTTCCTTTAGGTTATAGGGAAGGCCATTTTCCAACATTGCACTATCTTATGTATATGTGATATGTTATAACCCACAAATGAACTTTTCAAGCTAACAAACACCCCATATCGACTTCCTTCTCTCAATTCATACTGTGCTGCAGGTAGAGTAGAGGCCTGGATACAGACTTGTAGGTACAGATCATGCCCTGGGCCACATATAGCAGTGGAATTTGCTTCACAGATAGGATGGTAGTTTTATTTCTGTATGTCTTTCTTTTTTCTTTTTAAAATGAAATGGAAGTTTACTTTATTTTTTAATTTATCCTTCTATAATAAATTACATCCCAATAAGTTTTCCCTCCCTCCACTCCTTGCAGTCCCCCATCCACCTACTATTTCCCCTAGATCTGTTCCTCCTCCATTTCTCTTCAGAAAAGAGCAGGCCTCTCAGGGATATCAACTGAGTATGGCATAACAAGTTACCATAAGACTAGGCACAAACTCTCATATCAAGGCTGGATGAGGCAACCAGTAGGAAGAAAAGAGTCCCAAGAACAAAAAAAAGGAGTCAGAGATACTTCTCACTCTCAGTGTTAGGAGTCCCACAAGAACACCAAGCTACATAACCATGACATATGCAGAGGACCTAATTTAGACACATACAGGCTCCATGATTGCTGCTTCAGTCTCTGTGAACCCCTTTGAGCCCCACATTGTTGATTCTGTAGACCTTGTTCTCCTGTTGTTCTTGACCCTTCTGGCTCCTACAATCCTTCCTCCCGCTCTTCTTTGGGATTCCCTTGGCTCTGCCTAGTGTTTGGCTATGGGTCTCTGTATCTGCTCTCATCAGTTCTAATATGAAACCCTTCTGATGATGGTTGAGCTAGCCACAGATCTACGGGTAGCAGAATATCATTAGGAATTATTTCACTCCCCCCCCCCCATCAGTTGTGTTTGGTTCTATCTTAGGTCTCTGGTCTCTGCAGCCTCTGGTTCCTAGCAATCCATGGAGTGTCTGGGATAGGCTCCCTCTTGTTGCTAGTGGGGGCCTCAAGTTGGACCAGTCATTGGTTGGCCACTCTCTCAAGTTCTACGCTACCATTTCCATCTTCTGTAACCAGGCAAGGCTCTCAGTGGTGGGATTGATGCATCAACCCAACCATGAAACCTTCGACCTACAATTTGTCCTGCCTGCAAGATGTGCTAGAATGGTCATTTCAATCTGCAGACCCAAGGGATTTGAAGGAGACCAAAATATCAGGAAGGAGAGACTAAGTTCAGTCACACCGGTTGTGCTAAAACAAAACAACAACAACCAAATTCTTTTATGTATTCAGTTCTACATAAAGCTGTGTTTTAATTGAGGGTTCCATTGGTATATGAAAAAAAGTGAAAATCAGGTCTACAAAGATAAAGGTACTTGAAGCCTGGGACTCAGGGAAGATACAAGATACAAGATAGGAAAGAAATGACTTATGAAAAGTTGTCCTCTGACCTCTACACACACATCATGATGCATTTTTGTATTCACACATATCTGCACATGCATATACACAATAAAAAAGAAATAAAATTTAAAATAGAAATTAGTGAAGAACATTTATAATATATGTGCAACTGAAATCCTGTTGTATTTTCTGTTAAAGGTCTTTCCTATTCAGTATTGTAATTCCATGGTATAGAAATGAATCCTCTCTTCAATAGTGTGTTGCCTGATTATCATTTGAAGATATGCCCAAATGACAGTCCAAGTTTAGGTGATTTATTTGGACTCTCAGTGCTTTTAGTCATAGGGTAATAACTGAAGGGAGTAGGTTTAAAATTTCAAAGCTTGCTATACTGAAACTAGCTCTTCTAGCTGCTGTCACAAAGCTTGCCTATCCAGACCACAGAACAGTGAAGTCAAGGATACTAAGTAAGTCCAACTTTGCACTGAATCAGGCTTGAGTGTAAGCAGAATTTTACATCCTAACTCTTTATTGCTATTACTTTCTGGTTACAATGATCATCACACAAATTTATCTTAACCATTTTTAAGACTAGTCCCTCAACCTTAATAGTAAATTATTATTCAGAGGACATTAAAAGTCAGCCTATTAGGCAACAGTACCCAAAGGTAATTTTAGATAATTTTATTTTATGTCTAGCAAAATAACATATATACTGTAACAGAAAATAACATGTATACTGTAATGTTTTCTGAAATGAATGACTCCATAAGACAACATTTTACTTGAATGTTCATAGCAGATAATTTATAATGACATTTTATTTTATAATATTAAGTTTCTGCTTGCTAAAACATAGGTGAGCAAATGTCAATAATACATAATTTCAGAACAGAAACTTTCCATTTTTAATCCTACTCTCCTACTATTATAAACCTAAGAATATGTTTTATTTTCTATAATATGAGCATTGCAATTGATATTTTTCTTCCATTAATATCGAATACTAAAATCAGAGTATTCCAGTTTAGAGATTGTTTTTTCGTTAGAAAAGTCGGCCCGGTCGATGCGAGAACTAGGACTCCCAACCTTGCTCAGCCAGGACTTCCTAGAAACAGAAAAAAACAGAAATAAGTGTATATAGTACACACAGAGTTACTAAAATATGCCATAAGGAAGTTCATGTTTGTAATGTAACTTTTGCATTAAATATGTTTATAAATTGGCTTACATGCTGATGAAGATGTCACAATGAAATACATTACTCATTATACCAAACTTAATTAAAATAAATGAATTTGCTTACATTGTATATGCTGTTCTAAGAATACTACATAGTATAATACATAGTTATACACAGACAAAGAATGGAAATAATTTAAGCAACTTAGTTCATATTAGGGTTATTCTCCCTGCCCCCCCAAACAACAACAATAAAAAAAACTCAACCAACGAAACAAACTCTTTAAGTCATTATTACCTAGCTCTTAATTTTCAAAATACTTTTATAAAGTGGTCAGTAGTAAAAGCACTTCACCATTCTTTTCATTACCAAGTATATGGTAGACTCATATGGTAGACACATATGGTATGTGTGTGTATGTGTGTGTGTGTATATAAGTGTGCATATGTATGTATGTGTATATACATGTTATATATAGAGAAAACATTATGGAAAGGAATGGACATAATTTCTGTAAAACATCAAATGAAATTAGATGATCTGTCTTTTCTTATATATGTCTTATGACTTTTCTTACCATATACATTAGCAAAGTTATTGCATTGCATGAATTAATCTAATAGTTCTGAAAAGATTTTTCTGCTTATGCAGAGAAGTTACTAATGTTAACTTATTAGCAATAACTATGAGTTAATTTGTGCATTTGAGTACTGTGGACACATGTCCTGGTCCTCTGGCCTCACAGTCTCTCCATTCTGTCTTCTGAGATGCTCCCTGGACCTTCCTTAAGTGTACAAATTGCCTTGTAGATGTACCATTTGAGAATGGGTTCCCTAGGTCAGCTTCTGTAACAACCTCATTCTACACCAGCTTTTACTACCAGGCTCTGAGTGGAGACACTAGCATCCAGACTGTGGGGCCTGTTGGAGAAAGCCTGCTAATCTTGGGTTGGCTTGCCTTGGCTTTTTGAGGTTTCTTGTTTAAGTGCCTAGTCCTGGCCTTTCTGGATAACTGAGCAGAGAGGGAAGGGGAGAATGTTGAAGCAGAAAAGAAATTAAAAGAAAAAGGTACAAAAAAGAGAGAGAGAAGGAAACATTATCCTTTCATAGACTCTTTAGAAAGTCCAAAATGATAGGTGAGGAGGCCACAACATCTGCCCCAACACCGGGAATAACTGGGACTAGGGACACAGGAACCCCTGCCTAGCCAGTAGCACAGATTCCTTCCGGTCTAAGTCAGTGCCCTGAGCAGACCTTGGGTGCCAGCCTCACACGCAGTCCCACAACACCCAGAAGAAGCTCGACTCCCAGGTGCTCTCACAAGCCCAAGATCATAGGTGAGGAGCTCACAACATCTGCCCCAACACCTGGAGTAATTGGGACCAGCAGGATCCAGGGACTCAGGAACTCCCGCCTAACCTGTGGCATGGGTTCTGTCCAGTCTGAGGCTGTGCCCTGAGAAGACCTTGGGTGCCAGCTCCACACCCAGTTCCACAACACCCAGAAGAAGGTTGACTCTCAGGTACTCTAAAACACCCAGGATAATAGGATCACAAGATCGCAGGAGCTTGGTCACACCAGGATTTCAGGATCCCAGAGGCAGCTTGACTCCCAGGAACTCAGACACACCCAAGATCACAGGATCTCAGAATCACAGGATCACAGAGACAGCTAGAGTGTGAGTTCTGACACAACCAGGATCACAGGAGGGACAGGCCCCAGTCAGAGACAGCAAGGGAAGGTAGTACTAGGGATAAACAGATGGCAAGAGGCAAGCATAAGAATATAAACAACAGAAACCAATATTACTTTAGCATCATCAGAACCCAGTTCTCACACCATAGCAAGTACTAGATACACTATCACAACAGAAAAGCAAGATTCTGGTCTAAAATCACTTCTCATGATGATGATAGAGGACTTTAAGAAGGACATAAAAAATATATGAGAACACATTTTAAAAAATACATGAGAACACATGTAAAGAAGTAGAAGCCCTTAAAGAGGAAACACAAAAATCCCTTAAAGACTTACAGGAAAACACAACCAAACAGGTGAAGGGATTGAACAAAACTATCCAGAATCTAAAAATAAAAATAGAAACAATAAAGAAATCACAAAGAAAGATAGTAACCCTGGAGATAGAAAATCTAAGAAAGAGATCAGGAGGCATAGATGCAAGCATCACAAACAGAATACAAGAGATAGAAGAGAGAATCTCAGGTGCAGAAGATACCATAGAAAACATTAACACAATAGTCAAAGAAAATGCAAAATGCAAAAAGCTCCTAAGCCAAAACATCTGAGAAATCCAGAACACAATGAAAAGACCAAACCTAAGCATAGTAAGTATAGAAGAGAGCAAAGATACCCAAATTAAAAGGCCAGTAAATAACTTCAACAAAATTATAGAAGAAAACTTCCCTAACCTAAAGAAAGAGATGCCCACGAACATATAAGAAGCCTACAGAATTCCAAATAGGCTGGACCAGAAAAGAAATTCCTCCCATTATATAATAATCAAAACACCAAATGCCTAAAACAAAGAACATTAAAAGCAGTAAGGGAAAAAGGTCAAGTAACATATAAAGGCAGACCTATAAGAATTACACCAGACTTCTCACCAGAGACTATAAAAGCCAGAAGATCCTGGACAGAGGTCATATAGACCCCAAAAGAACACGAATGCCAGCCTAGGCTACCATACCCAGCAAAACTCTCAATTACCATAGATGAAGAAACCAAGATATTCCATGACAAAACCAAATTTACACAATATCTTTCCACAAATACAGCCCTACAAAGAATAACAGACGGAAAACTCAACACAAGGAGGAAAACTACACCCTAGAAAATGCAAGAAAGTAATCTTTCAACAAACGCAAAAGAAGATAGCCACACAGACATAATTCAATCTCCAATAACAAAAATTAAAAGAAGCAATAGTCATCACTTTTTATTGGATATTTTATTTACATTTCAGATGTTATCCCCTTACCCCATTTCTCTCCCCTCCCCACCCTGGAATCCCCTATCCCATCCCCCCTCCTGCTTTTATGAGGATGTGCTCTCACCTACCCCCCCCCACTAGTAATAATCACTTTTCCTTAATATCTCTTAACATCAATGGACTTAATTCACCAATAAAAAGACATAGACTACAGACTGGATGTGTAGACAGGACCCAGCATTTTGCTGCATTCGGGAAACACAACTCAGTGACAAAGACAGATACTACCTCAAAGTAAAAGGCTGGAAAAAAAATTTCCAAGAAAATGGTCACAAGAAACAAGCTGGAGTAGCTTTTCTAATAAGGAATAAAATTGACTTTCAACCAAAAGTTATCAAAAAAAGATAAGGAAGGCCACTTCATGCTCTCCAAAGGAAAAACCTACCAAGATGAACTCTCGATTCTGAACATCTATGCTCCAAATGCAAGGGCACCCACATTAGTAAGAGAAACTTTTCTAAAGCTCAAAGAACACATTGAACCTTACACAATAATAGTGGGAGACTTCAACACCCCACTCTCACCAACGGACAGATCATGGAAAGAGAAACTAAACAGAGAAAAATTGAAACTAAGAGAAGTTATGAACCAAATGGATTTAACAGATACTTATAAAACATTTCAGTATAAAACGAAAGAATATACCTTTTTCTCAGCACTTCATATTACCTTCTCCAAAATTGAGCATATAATGGATCACAAAACAGGCCTCAGTAGATACAAGAAGACTGAAATAATCCCATGTATCCTATCAAATGACCACATAGTAAGGCTAGTTTTTAATAACAACAAAAACAATGGGAAGCCCACATACACGTGGAAGCTCAACAACTCTGTACTCAATGATAATTTGGTCAAGGAAGAAATAAAGAAATTAAAGACTTTTTAGAATGTAATGAAAATGAAGGCACATCATACCAAAATTTATGGGACACAAGGAAAGCAGTGCTAAGACAAAAAACGCATAGCTCAAAGTGCTTCCAAAAAGAAACTGGAGAGAGCATACACTAGCAGCTTAACAGCACACCTGAAAACTCTAGAATAAAAAGAAGAAAATACAAGGAAGAGAAGTAGACAGCATGAAATAATCAAAACTCAGGGCTGAAATCAACCAAGTAGAAACAAAAAGAACTATACAAAGTATCAACAAAACCAGGAGCTGGTTCTTTGAGAAAATCAACAAGATAGATAAACCCTTAGCCAGACTAATCAGAGGACAGAGAGACAGTATCTAAATTAATAAAACCAGAACTGAAAAGGGTGACATAACAACAGAAACCGAGGAAACTAAAAAAATCATCAGATCCTACTACAAAAGCCTATACTCAACCAAGTTGGAAGATCTGGATGAAATGGACAATTTTCTAGACAGATACCAGGTAACAAAGTTAAATAAGGATCAGATAAACCATCTAAACAGTCCCATAATCCTTAAAGAAATAGAAGAAGTCATTCAAAGTCTCCCAACCAACAAAAGCAAAGTACCAGATAGGTTTAGTGGAGGATTCTATCAGACCTTCAAAGAAGGTCTAATACCAATACTTTTCAAACTATTACATAAAATAGAAACAGAAGGAACACTATTCAATTTGTTCTATGAAGCCACAGTTACACTGATACCTAGACCACACAAAGACCCAACAAAGAAAGAGAACTTCAGACCAATTTCCCTTATGAACATTGATGTAAAACTACTCAATAAAATTCCCACAAAACGAATCCAAGAACACATCAAATCGATCATTCACGATCAAGTAGGCTTCATCCTGGGGTGCAAGGATGGTTTAGTATATGGAAATCCATCAACATAATCCACTACATAAACAGACTCAAAGAAAAAAACATGATCATTTCATTAGATGATGGAAAAGCATTTGAAAAACTTCAACATCACTTCATATTAAAAGTCTTGGACA